TGACACATTTAAATCAGATTTCTTCTGCCAAACATAGTTCACATTCTTATTGTACAGATTTGCTTTCTTAGTACATTCTTCACTGCGATGTTCCTTTTTACCACAAAAAGAACAAACGGTCTCACTAGGTAAGTTCACATATTTCTTTTTCTTTCCAGTGGACTTCTTCTTATGAACATAGCCTAGACCTTCTGTTCTTTTTGTCTGAGCTTCCTTTACCCACTTGGGAACACCCGTGCTTGCTGTATTTTTACTTTTTCTTGCAATTTCTAGGTCCTTTTCTAGTTTCTCATTTTTATCATTGGTTTCCTTTATCTCTTTCTTAACATGCTCTAGTTCATTATTAAACATGATTAAAGGAACTTCAGTAGACCTGCAAGAATCAATGTTAGTACACAACATTTTATATTGAGTCAATTCAATATTCAGCATGATATTCTCACTCTTGACTCTTTCAAGGGATTCTTTTAGCATAATATTTTTATCTAACAATTCAAAGAATCTGCCTTGAACATCATTTCTTAAGCTATTCAGATACTTAACATGATCTCTACAAATTCCAGTTGCCTTTTCGGCTTGCCTTAGTTTTACACATAATTCTTTATATTCATCTAAGGTTTCTAACAATAAAGAGATTAATTTATCCTTTGAGAGAGATTTCAAATAACGAGGTTGAATGACTACCTCATCATCATGCTTTGCCATTAGACAGAGATTGGCTACTTCATCGTCTGTGTGTTCCTGTTCCTCTTCTTCGGAACTTGATTCTCCCCATGTGGAAATCATTGCTTTCCTGAAATTTGTTTTAGAAAAGTTAGGCTTGGAATTTCTGCTTTGATCAGCTTCTTTTCCCTTGCCTTTCTCTGATTCCCATAATGGACACTCTTTGATGAAGTGGTTGGTGCTTCCACATTTGTGACAAGAAGACTTGGCTTTGGGTTCCTGATTTCTTTTACTGTATCCTTTCTTCTTGTCTAAAAACTTGTTGTTACGGTAGAATTTTTTCAGCCTTCTCACCAACATTGCAGCTTCTTCTTCATCGATGTCAGACTTCTCTTCGGATTCTTCATTAGCTCTTAATGCTAGCCCTTGACTTTTGACAGTCTCCTGAGTCCGATTGTTCGACTGGATCTCGTGAGTAATGAGGGAACCCGCAAGCTGTTCCAGATTGAACTTGGTGAAGTCTTTTGATTCCTGCACCGCTGCAACCTTTGCTCTCCATCTGTCATTGTCTGGAAGACTTCTTAAGACTTTTCTGACCTGCTCATCTATAGGAATTATCTTGCCAAGACACGTTAGTTCGTTAGTAATACTCTTAAATCGAGTAAACATGTCTTTAATGGATTCTTTGTTTCCCATTTCAAAGCGCTCATACTGAGACAAAAGAATGTCTATTTTGGAACGTTTAACATCTGACGTTCCTTCATGTGTAACTTCCAGAAGATCCCAAATTTCCTTTGCTCTTTATATTTCAATTAGTGATGTAGACATCTATTAATGAATCATAAACTATGATAATTAATCATAAACTAAGGCAAAAAAGGTGATTTAAGTCAAACGGTAGGTCCATCTTTAGTATGTCTCTCAATCATTTTCTAACAGCTTCACTTAAGTATAATAGCTAGTGTATGGTTTAGTTGATTTAATTCTCTTGTATACCTTACTAATTACGTGTACAATATAGTAATTAGTAAGGTGTATACTTAAAAACCACAAAGTTACTAAAACAAGGATGCAAGTTTAGGAGATTGATGAACTTGTTGATTATGAGGTTCTATTTGAAAACCAATCATATGACACGCACGTGTGTATAGTTTAGCCATTGCCCATCTTCATGACCCTAATATAAAAGGAAAGACGAGGGTTCAATTCATATCATACATGTACCTATCAAAGTATGTTTTAGTGTATTTAATTAAATTTCTATCCAAAAAAAATACTTGAAAAGAAAGAACTATATATAATTAGATATTTATATATTTTGATGAACTATAATTAGATATTAGTATAAAGTACAATGATTTAGTTATATAACATAGAGAGGAAAATGTGGTACTATAATAATTAGATGTCAAAATGTCATTTAGCAAGAAGATTTGTCTCTAATGGTTTTGGTTACCAACAAAAACATAGTGCTAATGACTACAATAGTAGCTTAGAAAGATAATAATATATGATAATCTACCACCCATCATTTGGAAAGTTCGAAGATAATGCAATTGTGGAGTAGATTCCAATCTAATGCTTACAAAAGTTTTTCAAACATCTTGCTAATATACTAGATTTTTTAGGTCAATTGGATCATTTATTTAATTATTTATGCATTTATAGCTATGTCATGTGTTCTAGATGTTTGAAAGTACAATGCTGCTCCCCCTATTAATATGACGTTGATCCCGTGACAACTTCTTTTGATCTTTCTAGGATTTTTTTTTCCATAAAAACTCTTTTTGAAAGTCTAACTGGCTAATACAAGAGGGGGGGTGAATTGTATTTGAGGTGAAATCTAAAAACTTTTTGCGGAATTTAACTAAATGAAATAATGACGAGAGAAGATATAGGCTTTTCTAAATTTCCACTATGTAATCAAACTCTATACAAGTGAAGATTCAAACCCGTTAACAAGTTCCCCAAATTAGGAACTTGTTCCCAACTCTCACAGAAGACTTCAGCAACGAAGCTTCCTTAACCTCACCTTACAAACTCACAATCCCAACCCCAAAGTACTTGTATACAATCTGTGATTACAAATACCTATTGCACTCAAGAATATATGAAGGAAAATAACTCTCTTTATGTTATTAGATGGCTACTGGAATTTTTATGCTTAAGAGTAATGTTTTTCTGAGATAGTTTGCATGAGTATTTATAGAGAAGGCTTAGTCATTAACCTCCACCATAATCACGTCCACATGTCAACAACCCACTAACAACTTGTGGAGTTATCTTGACAGATTGTGATCATGAAGAGGTTTCCTAGCCTTATCTAATTAAACCACTATCCTAACAACTTGATAACCATTAGCCGTATAAAAGATTTTCTCACAGAAAAACCACTTGCTAACTTTATCAAATATTTATTTAAAAGATTATCAAAAGTTTGTTTAAAAAGATTTTATTTGAAAAGATAAATTTATTATTTATTAAAACAACTAGATAATTATCTTCGATAATTATCTTTATTAAAACTTTTACAAATTATCTTTTCTTTAAGAAATTATCTTTTAAAACTAACTTTTATTCCAGTAGTCTTTAACATAAGTCATTGAGTTCCTTTCCGACTTTATATTATTGAGTGCTCACAATTAAAACTAGAACGTGAGATTTGCACGAGGCTTTTTAAAGAATGCTACTCCGCATCCAAGTTCCTACTCCGGAACGAACTTTGCTTGAATCCTTTATTCACCAAAGACTCAAAACATTCATTAGTCGAGTTTGTCAATTTGTCCATCAAAACCAAAAGGCTCAACACTTTTATTACGGAGTAACATTTAATAATAAATCGTACGGAGTATATGTTTGTAGTCATAGAGAACCTAGATTGATTTATATGGAGTAAGTACGTGCTTAGGAGGTTAAGATCGACACGAGTGGTGCGTATGCCTTCTGCTCGTAAATGCATGCGTGCAGGCCGTTCACTATACGATTAGGAAAGGATAGTTATGTCGAAGTCTGTTGGTTAAAGTTTTGGGGTGGTGTTTAAGAGTTGAGATTAAATCTCGTTTACATCATTGTCTTTTGTGTTTTTCTTTACATCGAAATAGGAAAAAAAATCCAATATTTTGATTTTATATCTTTCCGAATGTAGATAGTACTCCGTGGTTTGAATTGTAAGTATTACGAATATAAATTCTCCAAGAGAAACATGAAATTACCCGTAAATTCGTCCCTATGCCTTATAGAATGGGTAATTGGGTGAAATAGAAGGACAAGTAGGGAGAAATATCAAGTGTGACTAGAGACAACCCTTAAGTTTGAAGTTGTGTCGTTTTTCTTGTCTACATCAATTTTTACTATACATTCTTCTTTTTGTCATTTTTGCAGCTTAGATCACGGAGCTTACTATGGCACCTTAATGATATAAATTATAAAAATAAATAAATAAGAAAATCAGGGAAAGAAAAATTATTACAAAGTTGGTTGGGTTTGTCTATTAAAAAAATATTACCTCCAATTTTTTTTAGTTACAACTTTGGAATATTTTATATCACAAATAATACCCTAAAGTTGCAACAAAAAAAAAATCGGAGGTAGTAAAACGCTTCAGGTTTATGTAGCCAAATAGCCAATGTTGGTATGTAAGCATATCAAAAATTCAGTTTACTAAAAATGATAGACATATGTTGAAATCTTTGGTGGTTCAAAATATAATTAGAAAGGATATGATGTTACACACAATCCAAACTCGATCCATTAAATTAAATTAAACCTGATACATCTAAAATGACGAGGAAATGAAGAATAGGTGATATGCACAGAATGTAGAACAATTTGAAGCTTGATATGCTACTCCTTCCGTCCCTAAATTACATTCCTATTTCTAGCATTTATCTCTCATATAATAGAGGAAAACAGGAATGTAATTTAAAGACGAAGGGAATAATATACTTCATTCACAATTTGAATAAAACCAGTGTTTATTACCAGTTTTGACATAACACATAATTAACAAGAACAGAATAAAATCCAATTAAAGTCGGAACAATTCAAGGTGTACGATTTCATATTGACATGACGGAGGTAGTTTGATTTGCCTGGAAAACCAATGAATTTTAAGGTCGGAACAATTCAAGTGTTTTGATATTTGCTCACGTAAAAATAAAGTTAAATGTACGATTTCATATGAGGTTTATTCTAAATTTACGCCGTGCAAGTTAACACTCGTGAAAAATCGTTATTATCCCAGAAACATCTTGAAGCCATGAGTACCTGGTAGGCAAATGTAACAACACTCTTTCCACAAATGTAACACAAATTTCAGCAATCTATTGCAAGAATAATGAACAAAATCCAATGACAAACTAATTTGCAATTCCAGTGTTTTAAAATCCTGTTTTCAATGTTCAATAATCAAATATAATCAGTTCCACAAAGTTTATGTTTGTCATGAAGATGCTAAGTTGCCTATGTTCTACAATTTGACGGCATTGGCAATCTCCAGAACATGAATATAATTGAAAAAATCATCAACCATCATACTTCGTATTTGGTATAAAACATCATGATTCTTCAACGTATGGCAACTTGCAAGGCGCCATGTGATCTTTGGCCTTGAAAGTTCCAAGCATTTCAGCAATAGACCTGCAACGACATTGATTCCCTGGCCGCATCACGTCCCCATACACAGCCATCTCAACTATATCAAGTTCTTTGTCTGCAAAAAGATTATCTCCAAAACTCAATAAACAATTGCAAACGTTTAGCATGCATTTATCACTTAAAATTTTTGGCAAAAATTACTAAAGAATACAGCACAAGCAATTTAGCCGAGATAATATAAGCAGGAAACGTTCCTTTTAAAACTGCCTACAAAAGTCACGAAGGAATGACATACAGCCACATCATAATCCATAGCTCATGCATCTTTGCAGAATTTAAATCTACAATACTCCCAACCCAAAGAGGGAAAAGAAAATGGACATTTCATCTAATACAACACACTTCCTAGATGGGCTATAAAAATGCATAGATAATGAGGCAATGAGGAAGGTACAAGTATAACTCTTTGTGCTCAAACCCTCTCCCTTTCCACATTTTTCCCTTTCCTTTTTATTTAAAACCCCTACTTCTATTTGTTCAACAATAGTCCCTTCCATATTTTATATAGTTCATTTGTTGTAGTTTTGCCACAAATTAGCTGCTGTTTAATTGTTTTTCTTTATCACTATGCTTCTAGGAACAGTGAAGATTTACACTAATGAGAAATGGAGAATTTTGGGAGCCAACTCATGGAGGGTTTTGATGTGGATATGAATGTCCATGCTAGCCTGTGGTGGGAGTAATGCTTATAAATTGCCACATTTTTTTTTTAATTAAATTGCATATGAACATAGAAAATATAAAGCGAGGATTATGGTTTATTATTTATACATAATAATTATGTGAACCAAGGCCATATAGCTCCACATGATAAAATCCCAATTTGTCTCCCTAAGAACGCCCTGTTCCTAGCTACGGTGGTGATGGTCAACCCACCTATCCTTATTGGTAAGGCACCTCTATCTCTATAAAGGAACCACACACTTACCCTTCCCCCTCCCCCTACTATCAATTAGATGGGGGTAGATGTAACTATAAGGGCGATCCTAAGTACTCCTACGTCTCCGTTTTTTATCATCGGGTTCCCGGAGATTTGATCCTTTTTCCTCAAGTGGCAGCACATATGCATAGTGGCCACTATGGGTGGCCAGCCGCTTACAAAAGTGGTTGGCATCCCCACTACTCTTTGGATTTTGTAAACTACGGGCCTGCCTTTCCCCTCCACCAAGAACAATGCTCAATTCATGTACATTCTCAAAGATGAAGAAACAAGATATGTCTAAGTTAAAATCTAGAGACAAAAATCCATAAAGCTCACATTGACTATGTGTGCTTATACTTTTTTGAGCGTAAATAATGATCGGACCAAGTTAGATACCCTTCCCATCATTGTGTGCTTGTCATTTTTGCTACTAGATTTTTAACCTAGGCATATCTTGTTTTGTGCATTCTAGAGGAAGGACATGAATTAAATTATCTGCTTAAATTACACTTCTTTTTGAGAGTTCTCATAATGCAAACTAAGAGCAAATCCCAAGGCTCTATTACAATAGATTTGCCAATATGCATTTAGTAGGTTCAAAGAAAGATGATGGGCTAAATATCTGAACAATGAGCATAAACCATTGTGGAGGGTGCATGTGGAAAGAATTTGGGGAGGATCAAAGTATAGCTTTCAATTCTAAGTCCCCACATGTCAAATATCCAAGTGACGAGTGCTGTATGTTTTATAAAATGCATTTATAATTATCTCAGAGAATCAACGTATTCATTCTTCAGTCTTGTCCTCAAAAGTACCAATAACGAAACATGCTCAATGTCTATATACAATTTTCTATCAAGTGCAAATATGGAACATTGGTAACATAAAATAATTTTTTAAAAAATACGGAGTAATAGCAATGCAGGGAAACATACCAGTAAACTTCAAATCACAGGAATAGCCTCTCAGTATTTTGGGATCCATTTCTTTGTCAGATTTGTATCGGTTGACCCTAGTCTGAAGGATCTGACAATTGTCCATTGTGGACTCACCTCCTACAATGACAGTTTCCAATGTTCAAGCATCCCTTGAAATGTAAAAATTTGTCACTTAGTTATGACATTGTATAAGAAGGCAAATACAACATACCAAACTTTATATCAAATGCAAATGCTCACCATGCAAAGGAAAATTAAGGGTGAAATTAGACAAAACTTTATAAATATTCTTTATTTGTCCTTTCAGGTGCCCAATCGGTTTCAGTTATCATGTCTGATGAAAAAATCTTTATATTTGGATGCTTCATTCAGGGTGGAAGTGATTTTAAGAAGAGGCGATGGAATTAAAGTAATTTGAGCGAGGCAGAGGAAGGGAATTGGAAAATACTTGTATATCCTAACATGTTCCCTTGTTTCATGATGCTTTCATCTTCACAAAAGGAAAGGAAAGTGGATAATGTTTTGGCAGTTAAATGTAACTCTAATAAACTCTATTACATCTACCTCCAAAAAAATTTAAAGACAGTCAATTACTTCTTTAGATTTCACACACATCCAGATGCTCAAATAACCCATTTGAGAGTGCAAAAGAGCATGCACAACATTTCAACAGTGCATCCCATATGCCTCAGACAGTTCATAACTGGGAAAAAAATTAAACAGAAATTTACAGTCTAAAATATGATCAAAAGTCAAAGAAACAAGAATAAAGCAAATTCTTTAAAGCGTGTAAAAATGAGGTCAAAGTGAGCTCTCCTCTAAAATAGCTAGTGTTTTTGATTCATTTTCAAATTAAAACCACACAAATTGAGGTTAAAAAGATAAAAACAATCAAACAAGATTAAAAACAAATTTTTTAATATTAGGTTAAAACAAACGTCAATTGACCTGCGAGCCCTGAAAGACAAAAGCACGTGTCTTGGATGTTTTTGAAATTTTAACCACTAAATTAAGTTGCAATGATACATCATCGATTAAGAGACTTCAAAGAACCCTAATATAGTCCTCAGCAGGGTTTTAAGTAAAAAGCAGCCACCATGGTTAAAAGACATCAACAACAAATTGCCAAAAAAGGAGTAAAAAAATAACAGAAAAAATGGTTTATTCAATTAATTCAACCAAAAATTTATTCACTTCCAAGTTCCAACCTATTGTTCCAATCATAATAGGAAAGTTCTAGGGATTCAAGGCAAAAGAGCATGAAAATATCTAACATATGTAATACACTCATATCACTTAGTAATGGAAAGCTGCCACAACTAATGAGGCTTTGGAAGATGGAAGTCACACCTTGAATTTGCCATACAATTTCCAGAGCATCTGGAGGAACTTGCGGGGCTTCTAAATTGATGTGAGCTTCCAAACCAGGTTATTTGAATCAAGTCAAGGTCTCAAGTATGTAGTCACTCCTACCAGATGTTTAGCTAATACCCATATAACTTGGAAGAGATCTGCAATATTCGACTCTCAATGTAAAGTTTTAATGGGACTAAGGCGGAAATGCTATTAGTACCCATGGGTAATTCCAATAAGAAATCAGGAATTCAGGATTGGCTTTTAACTGCCAGATGAAAGGGCCAACAGGCATTGTCTATGAGCAAAAAGGTGATTACTATATCAAGTTATCCACTCTGTTTAAGGCCTTGAAGTAAGATTTAAAAACTTCCCAGCAATGCACCACTCAGCTACTTTGCAGGCCTAAAGGATATACCGCAAAAAAAAAAGTGATTAAAATTTCAACTCTGTTAGAGGCCTTGAAGTTAGATTTCAAAACTGCCCCAACAATTCATCACTCAGTCACTCTGCAGGCCTAAAGGATATACAACAAAAAAGGTGATTATTATTTCAACTCTGTTTGAGGCCTTGAAGTTTGATTTTAAGCCTAGCCTAGAAATTCACCACTCAGACACTCTACAGGCCTAAAGGATCTCTCACAAATGTGATTACTGTTTTAACTCTGTTAACGGCCTTCAAGTTTGATTTTAAGCCTGCCCCAGGAATTCGTCACTTAACCACTCAACATGCCTAAAGGATCTACAAAACGTTCCATTTCAAACAATTTATAAACAATCATTTAACAGCTTCACAGGTACACATCTCGTGCTATTGCAAATCATTTTGTCATGCTTCTACACCAAGTTCTCTAAATGCGTTTCCTACTTGCCCCAAGGGTGCATAAGTATTACATGTATTAGGCACCCCACACGCTTTATGTACTCTAGGTGCTGCATTTTTCTTAGAGCCTAGTTGCAGAGAATATTTGAAGAGTAACACCAGACTTCATCATTTCAATGCCTGATGGAGCTCAAACACACATCACTACAATAAAATATGTCTTGAAGACTGTGTAAAAGCAAATCTTAAGCTGATTGTGAAACTGAGGGAGTTATCATTTTTTTTTTCCAGACGCCATTTAAAGAAACATGCAAGGAAAGTTCCATTGCCAAATGTATAACCGTCAGCAAACGAGTAACAGTTCATATCCCAGCTTATAACATTACGTGTGTATAAATTTGGTGTAACTTCATAAAAATGTGTGAAGGCGGCAATATAGAACTGATATAATCAGGCCCCTTATCAACTTTTAGACACCGTGAAGGATAATGTTGATCTTTAAGATAGATGCCACCAAAACTACAAAGAGGCAACCTAAACAATCAATCAGTCTCACTATATCAAATCACAACTTGATTCCCACAAGGCAACAACGCTTTTCTAGTTGCCGCAAAATGTGCTCCACTTGGGTTGATAAATCCATGTTAAATTGACCTAGAACTGACAATTTCCCAAGCTTAGCTTAGAGTACAGAATAATATGATAACTTCAACACATAATACTAAGTGCCTACAAACTTCGCAGTCAGGTAAAGTCTATTTTGTCTATCAACCATCAACAATCAATTGCAAACTTGCAACATTTAAAAAAATAACAAAGTAATACTTAATCCAGATAAGCTAATGATAACCTTTGCACTTCTCCAAACTAATTAAATGGCCAAACAACTCCATTTGTTGACCTCCTTTCGGTGCCAATCCAAAATTTTCCAAAGCAACTCAGCTTATCTTTTTTCCTCTCAAACTTAACACCATGCAAGCAGCCTCAATTCTAAACCTGACATTGTCATCCTTGGCCATTCATATCATTAACTTCCACCTAAAAAGTCACCCAAGCGAAGCTAAAATATACGAGAAGATATTGGTCATACATCACACAAATACACCACTCATCACTTTCAATGCAGGATACTAAATCTCAATTTGCTACAAGATACAAGTTGAAACATACAGATATCCCAAAATTTTTGCCCATCACTCACTCTTAATTACAACACAAAATCTCAATCAACTAGTAATCAAATACCCAACTTGCACCATTCATCTCCATCTCTTAAGCTACCCTTTTCTTCAAACTCACATCAAATCTACTTTTTGGGACACAAAAGCCAATAAAAATCACACAAAACCATTAAAATTACAATGAAATAATCAAAATTTCAACATAGATCACTCAAAGCACAAAAACCTAAGATTCAGCATACAAAAATCACTCAAAATCCAATAACATACAAGAGAAATCCAAGAGCATATAAATAAATTTATTACAAATTAAAGAAATACCCAACAAAAATCAGACAAAACCCAGCAAGAAAAATGAATTTTTGAGAGGAGAAATGACCTTTGGAGAAAGGAACAATATGATCATACTCAAAGCAAAGACAACCAGAACAATTGCAGAAACGCTTGCAAACGATGTTGCCGGCAACATCCTTCCTCCAACGGTCGGGATGACGGCCTGGGACAAGAGCAGCTTTAGCCCAGCACAAGTTCTTAGCTTTCTTATCAAAGAATCTTGGCCTCAAATTTTGATTATCATTCTCTTCTTTTTCGCCATTGTTTTTGCTCATTTGATTGGGTATTCTACAGTTTCCAATTCTCTGATACTGTTGTTCTTGGGATTTGGGATTTTCTTTGCCATTTTTGGTTTGATGCAGAGATTTTGTTGCAGAATTTTAGTGTTTTGTAGGGCTAGTGGATAAAGGTGGCAATGGTTGGGCTGGCCCAGGGTATGGCACGAACCATCTTGAAAAAATCACGGCATGTTAGGAGTATGGCCATGGGGTAAGCACAACACCACATGTTACCATTTTGGCCTAGAGGTGTCAAAGCCACACCAACCCGACCCATCCGATTTAAAATCGACCTAAAAAAATATTGATTTAGCTTGTGGCTAGCGTGGATACAATAATTTATTATGGTTAATTTTGAAAATTGTCCAACCCGATATCATCGAACCCGATCTAGATACCTGAATTGACACCTCTATTTTGGTCTTTTGGGTACTTGGTTGGCCATGATTCATTTTTCTTTTCTAAAAAATCAAACACCGTAAAGCGAGGTCAAAATAAGTGAAATTGCAAGTGCACATAAGCACGACATGGTGTCATGTGAATTTAAGACATGCTTTGGTTGTCAATAAGGGTGTTCATAAATCGGTCCATACTTGGAAAAATGGACTAGACAACCCCAAACCGAATCCAGACCGGAAAGGACCGAATTAATCAGTCCGGTCTTGTTCAAAACCCTATAGAAACTGGTTTTGGACCGAACCGGTTATTTTTATTAAAAATATGTGTAAAACCTTAAATAATGGTTAAAATTATCCTTAATAAGCTTAGAAAACTTTGACATTATAAGTTTTTTTGTACTAAACATACAAAAAAGACGTAAAATTGAAGTTACAATATAGTTTTTCCTTTACTTTTTTTTTGTGTTTTCCATAACTTTATTAAAAATTTAGTATTCTCTTTAAAAAAAATTCTTAAATCGGTCCAAAGCGGTCTGGTCCGGGTTTTGGACCGATTCTTTCGGTCTGGTCTGGGTTTAGTCCTAGTTTAATCGGTCCGGTCTTTGATTCTTAAAATTCTAATTTTCGGTGTTCGGTCCAATCTTGGACCGATGAACAGCCGTACTTGTCATTTTAATTCAGCCTTTTTCATTTTCAAGTCAAGTAGGTTTTAGTCAATTTTGAGTCAATGTAAAATTACATAAAATTTGATGATCAACTTAAAATCACATAGAATCTTCTTATAGTGTTCCTGGCTTACATTAAAATTTCAAAATAATTCCAAAATGTCATTGAGTACACCTACCTTTATCTGAACACGAGTAAAATTAAATATTTTATATATAAAAAAAAAAAAAAAAAAAAAAACTAGTACAAGCTTGCAAATCTTTCAATTTTTTTTTCATAGAGTAATAAGTTACAATTTTTGTTTGATTGGTACACAATAACACACAAGACTAACAAGAACTAATATACACAAAGTACATGCATCAAAATTCTTCAACTTTAACAGCATCACGAGCAAATTCATAAGCATCTTTAGGCCTATATTTCTTAACACCAGCAGTAAACAAAACCTTATCAGACTTGAAACTTTCAACATTGATGCTAGTCACTTTAACCCACACTAACACTTTGGTCTTCATACCTTCAACTCCCGTAAGCTTTCCTTTCGATAACGTGCCCTTAACACGATTAGCGTACCTCATGATGCTCGAGTCCTTAAAGCATACCTCACAAGGGGAGGACATGTACACGATGAGCTTCGATCTCGATTCATCAAACTCGTAGCATACGATGTTCTGAGGAAAGAGTCCCGCCGGAAGGTTGTAGTCTCGAAGGAGATCCGGTAAGGGTTTTTGAGTCTTTCCCTTTAACTTGTTGAATACCCATTTTGCCTTGCCTTCAATTGTACTTGAAATAGACTACATTTGAAGATAACTTTTTGTTAGGTCTGAAGTAACACCAAGGCTCTAAAGTAGAAAAAAAAAAAATTAAACATAAATTATGTACCGCGATGAAATTAGTAAAATTATTGTACGGCACAAAAGTGAAAATTTTCAAATGCACATGTTCATTATGATCACGTGTATAAGTTACAGAGTGATTATTCATGAGATGCCCGTTAAAATTATAATATTTTGAAATAAATTAACAAAATACACACAATAATGTTCATGGAATGAACTCAAAATAAACTTTTGCACCCTAGCGGCCTAGCATCAATGAAAACATTATGAAGCACTAAAGATAGATGCTATCTTGATCTAAATCTAAAATAAATGTGTATGGTCTTTTACTTTTTTGTTGGAAACTATAAATGAATGTAACAACGTTATTTACATAGATGAGATTAGATCCTAAATCTTGATTACCATAACGCTCCAAAAGCTAATTAAACCTTATCAACTAAACTAGCTAAAAAAGTAAATCTATCTAAAAATAAACAGGTAGCGTTTAATAGTGAACTAACTAGCTACAATGCTACATGAAAGCATACGACGACAAAATATTAAAACCAATCAGTACAACAATTGGGAAAGACTGGAACCTAACAACCCAAAACTGATCCCAGAATTCGGATTGACCCAAAAGGTAAACCGAGTGAAATATAACTAACTAAAACATATTAAATCAAATGTCTACATGAGGAAAGAGAAGAGGATTAAAAGAACGGTAGATGAAAAACATACCGATGAGAGATCATAAGTAACGGTAGATAATTCTTCTTTGGTCTTCTTAGAGATCCAAATACTCCCAACTTTCAAGCTCCCAACTTTTGTTAACGCTTTCTCCATTTTTTCTCTTCCTTCTAATCTATTTTCTCTCTTTTCATTTCCCTATTATGAAGAATTAATAAAAGGGCAATAAATTGGAAAACTATTAGTGTAATGTAGTGATAATGAAGCTTCTACTATAATAATTATTATTCTCTCTCCAATTATACAAGTTTATAATTTAAGCTAATTATAAGAAAGTTGTATCATGTATTCATGTGACAATTATGTCCTTATATGTTAAGCTGGAAAAACAAGTAAAGATGCGCCGAATCGACATAATACTCCAAATTGACAGCTATATATACGCTCTCAATGTTTTTGTAAGGAAATTATGTATTGATCAACTTTATTTATTATTTAAGTTGGAGTTTATTTAATCAATGATTAATTATGCATATTGGATGTCTTTCAATTTACATTTTTTTTTTGAGGCAAGTCTTTCAATTTACATTGTCCCTCTTATTGAAGCATCATATGGTATATAACGATTTATGATAGAAGTATGAAGCAATAACTAGAAGTCTGGGAGTAATTGAGTGCGTATATCATAATGTATCTGGGAGCATTGAGAATGATTTTCATGTTGGTGTTTGCATAAAATGCACTTGTATGTATTTATGGTGGATGGTCGAGTTTGCTTTATACTCCTTAAGAATTGTAGACTTTAAGGATTATTTTATCCATTTTTTTTATTGGCATTCATAATAAGTATCATCAAATTCTATGTGTGTGAGTACTTGTGTTTTGTTAAGATATGTTTCAATTGAAATTGAATTAATAAATGTATAATGGAAAGATCAGTATTTTTAATCGATGAATGTTTCTGACAAATTTTTACGAACAAAAAGTTTGAAGGCATAGGTATTAAGATTAAGGGAGAAAGAATTCTTGATCTAATGGTAGAATCAATTTAGCAAAGCAACTTCATTATACAATATAAGATGAATTATAATGTAAAACAATGTTGTTTTACATTTAGTTGATCACCAATAGTCGAGTTTATTTAAAATTAAGCATATGTTAGGTTAAGGTTCTATACATAACTTCAAACATAAATGATCTATGTGGAAGTCTAATCAAGAACCTTGGGACATCTTATCAAACATTAGGTGATTAGGTCCTGTGATCATATCATCATAACATAATTTTTATTTTCTAGTGTAAGATTATAATCTTGTAACATAAGATATTGATTAGTTTAACGGTTTAAATTATGTTTTTTTGTTATGTTCAAAATTTGCATTTTTTTTTTTATGCACAGGTGCACAGCCCAACACACAAGAATGAAACGGGCCAACCAAAAGTCTAAAACAGATCACAGCCCAATAAACTGGGCCGGTTAAGTAAATACTTCTCTGGCTTGTTAGTCTTTACAGCACCACATAGCGCAATGAGGGGCCGAGTAGCTGAGCTTCAAAGTGTTTGATCAACATGGTCGTATTCACTTGATTTTCATTTATCTAAATTTAATTTTTATAAGATTATGAATCTTTAACTGAATGTGAATTTCTAAAATAATGATATTTACTATGTATGTGAAAAAATACGGATTAAAATCATAAGAAGTTGGGTATGGCCATGTCCTAAAGATACAAATACATCATCAATTGTTCTTTAAGAAAAAATTTATAAATTGATAACTAATAAGTACTCCGTAATAATTATAAATTGAGTATATAGATACCATGCATCTGACTGTATATAAGATTCTATACCTTTGGTACGATATCTAAGATTTGTCCTAATATGATTTCCTATATTCCTAACACGTCATTATTTAAAATAAGGGTTTTTCTAAGCTATGCCCCCTGAGTTATTGAATTTCTAAGCTGTACCCATGTTTTTTCAAAGTTATAAGCTGCGCCCTCCACTTCACGATATTTTATCAATAATACCCTTTGACAGTCATATCCATTAACGAAAGTTAAGTTATTTTATCGACAACGATGTCGTGACGTTATTTATTTGACACGTGTCCCATTCTAATTGGTTTAACACTTCAAAAATTAAAAAAAAAATCAGAAAATAAAATAATAAAAAAAAGGTTATTGTTAATAAAAATTAGTGAGGCTGAGGGCACAGCTTAAACGTTTGAAAAAGTATGAACACGGCTTAAAATATGAAGAAGTTTAGGGGTATAACTTAGAAAAACCCTTAAAATAATATTTACTTTTTATATCAAACATTTACGCCCCGGTGAAAGGTTTGTTTAACTATGGAGTTACACGGTATTAAGTCGGCCAAAGTTTTAAATACCAATGAGATATTGAGATATACTCAAGAAGGACAAGATCATATATACGGAGTACTATATAGTACCATTGTATCAACTATCAAGTTCTTAATTAATGCCAAATTCACAAGAAAGTAGTAGAGCAAGAACAAATTCTTAAGGCCACAAGCCAAAGTAAAGATTGCGACAAAACAAAGTG